GGGGTTATATGCGCAATTTCATAAATTGCACACTTAATCCCCACCATAAACTATAAATAAAGGATAGTTGTGAAATGTGACATTCCATTTTTCCCATCATTTTAACTCCTTAAGGTATGTCTCTTCTTTAGTTAATTATTTTAAATTTTTCTTTAGTTAATTATTTTAAATTTTTCGTTAGTTAATTATTTTAAGTACTTATTTGGTTTATAAATAGGAATTAAATTTGTTGCTTTATGGTTCTTTAGTAATTGATAAAAGATAATATTATAGTTAAGTTTAATTAATAACATCAATGAAGATAAATTATAATTTTTTCATTTCAAAATCTTAACTTTGGAAATTTTAAAACTTTTAAACTAGTTGAAGATATATTGGGTTTTAGTTTACTTAGCTCACATTATTAAGGATTGTATAAAATAGTTTTGGGGGAAAAATAGTGAGTAAGGAAGAAGTGAGTAGGGATATAAAATAACTTGGTATAATAATTGTTAATATCATCATGATAATGGGTGTGGAAATTGGGTCACTACTATAATTATATAAGTGGTAAATTCAAATGGGAAGACAGATAACAATTAGTACTTGAGGCTTAAACTTAAATTACTTTGAGCTAGTTATGTGATAAATCTGAAGAAAAATTGTTATAATGCATAGTATCAATGGTAAGATATGATGGAAATGTGGTAAAGAAGAATATGAATTGAATAAGAAATTTACTAATAGGTATGGATGTATATATATGTGTGTGTTAATTGAAATGAAAAGTGGATCAAGCATGAAATGAGAAAGTAATATGGTAGTATATTGACTAACTTAAATTGTACATGTAATAATTTTATGGGATTTAGTTAATGACGATAACTTTAGTTTCATTTATATTATTAATATTATTATTATTACTACTAGTTGATAATAAGCTAGTATTATTATTTTTATTAGGGGTATGCTATTAAATAACCTATATTATCTTATAAGTTTAGTCTAGATGTGACAATCGAAAAATAATAAGATAAGATTTGATTAATGTAGAGATTATTGTGTTAATGCAGATATTGATCAAGGAAATCGCGAAAAAGGTCAATATTGATTTTTTTCCAACTACAGTGCAAAATACATTAATATGTGTAAATATGTGTTTATATGTGGTTGTTTCTTTTGTTATGTGACATGGTAGTATGTTACATGTGCATTAAGTTTATTTGAAAAATGTAGGAATAATTGTGTTTTTCAAGATCATGCATACTTGTGCTGTCATGCTAATAGAGTTGCAGTTGAAAATTTTGAACGTGAATCCCATTATAAATGTACCGTACTATTATGTCCGAATAATTGTACCGCTTTGAGGCTCCTAACGGTTATTAAGGGTAGCCAAAAATAGGGTATTGGAAATTCGACACTTGTATACAAACAGTTCCAGGAGGTCCCTTGGTGGCCTTAGGACTGCGGATAAGCACCTTGAGCGCTGTATATATGTAGGCCACGCTTTGAATTTGTATGTATGATATAATGATGTGGCATCCTGAGTCTCGATGGGCAACGATGGATGCGTTGATATTGGTTTGCACGCAAGAAAAAGGCCATGTTATTCTAAGCTCATACGGTACATTATAATAGGGATTGGGGCCCATGTATGTTTGAAATACATCATTGCATCATCATATTTACTGAACTTTATGGTTCACGTTTAGTATTTTGTACTGTAGATGCCACCGCGAGAGACTGAAATTGTCTGAACCACTAGACATGCCGAAATTACTGAGGACATCAGTACTATACATGTTATATATAGGCGTACCCACATACAAGCTCTTATACGGTGATCGACAAGTAAGAAGAGATCGAAACTTTTGAAGACGGGAAGGATTTTGTAATGGTAATGATTGATGTTTACGACTTGGTCACTTGTCCTTATGTAAATACTATAATGTATGTGGAGTAAAAAGTAAGTGGTATTGTGTAAAATAGGTAAATGATGCCTTGTAAAAGAGGGCAATAAAGATAAAAGAATTTTGACAGACTTTGATATACCGCCATATCTGTCTACTCTAAAATAGATCTATAGGAAACTTTTGAAAAATCTGCAGGCATTTCTTTTGACCAAAAATTTTTGATAGTCATATGACTAAGGTGTAATGCAGAGTATTTTGTAAAACAAAAATTCTCTTTTGATATAATATAAACTTGGCGGTTCTTTTAACTATTTATATTTTGAAATTTGATTTCCTTGATATGTTTTTGATTTTATTGCAAAATGTTTGATATGATTTTAATCTAAGGATAAAAATAAATAAATTAGGGAAATTAAGAGTAGTGCGTCATAGTATCTTGGTTATCCTCTTCCATATCTTCCTGTTTATGTTCATAATCTGAAAATATTTTAGACCAATCTCATTATACTCTTCCACTTCTAATTCAACCCTATAAAACTCAGTGCCAATATTTTGAACATTAATGTCTTCTACACCAAAAGGTTCAATAGGTGCATCAGAAGGCCCAGCATTTTCAGCATCGTCTACTCCTATATCACAGCCAAATATGGATGTTTCATCAAAGGCAGGACCTTACTTATCAACTATTTGCTGTTCAAACGGTATATTTCTAAGATCTTCCACTCCTATTGCACCCTTGCACTCTCGAATGTTGATAATTCAGCAAAATCATCCCTTTCATTCTCAACTGTTGGATGCTCGAACTTTGTATCTTGAGCATTTTCTACTCCAGCGCATTTTCAAAAGAACATGATAGATCAAAGGTTGACTTCTTACATGTTCACTCCACATGCTGATCATTTGCACTTAACTCTACCTCAACTACATCCACATGCTCAAATACACCAACTCCATTGTTATCTACACCATCATATCCATGCAAATGTTCCCCTTCAAATTCATCAACCACACAAAGATATTACCCTCTATCATGTCATCAAAAGCCTCAAAAGCAAATGAAGTTTTCTTTTCGACCTCCATATCTTCATTGATGATACTAATACTCTCCAAAATCTCACCAATTTCCATATCAATCCCGACATCTCATGTTGGTCCATTCTCATCCCATGGTAATTCCAATTCTTCTGTTGGTTTCGGCAAACAATACATATCTGCAACACTTGTGGGACTAAGTCATTTCACAACATTCATGAAGTTTGCATCGGTAACTAACCAAAATAACCCTTCACTTAATCTTTTATTTTCAAGCCAATACACATATCTCATTGGCTCAACGTAACCTAGCATCTTCATTGTACATTGTATTGTCTAATAGACATCGATTGAAGAAATTTGGATCCACGTAATCAAGATAGATGATTTTACCGTGTTCATACAAATAATTCCGTATCTTCCCAAAAAATCCCACCATGGTTCAACAGGATTGTGAAATAAATGGAGTTCTCTCTAGAAAAGGGAAAAATTACTCAAGTCCAATCAGAACTAATATAGTTATCATAATAGACGTCACCACATACTCATTACAACATTTTGTCCATATAGTCCACTTCATGCAATTTTTGAAAACCCTACCTATTGCATTCACCACAAACAACGAAATCACAAAATCAATTAACTATAATGACTCATGCTACGTTTTCATAATGATCCCAACATTCAAGTATATGGGTTTCTCACAAAGACTACAATTTTGCTCTTAAACTCTAACTGGCAACGACAACACTTGCAAAACCTCACCATAGATGGGTTCGGGTAGTGATCCTCTCAAATGGCATGCACATCCGTCATCAAGTTCTCCAACTTCGACTAGTTCATTGTCAAGAATTTTTTGACAGATTTTGTTCTCTTCTTCACAAGGGTCGTCTCAAATTTTGCAGAATTTTGATATAAGGGTATTTTAAGTGTACGAATTTACCCTCTCCTATTTTAATAAAAAGTGGTCAATCATTTTTTTGGTGATCAATTGACGGACGTTTGGATGAAAATCGTCCAAAAGACCTCCCCTGCAACGTTTGGAAAGCTTTAGGATGACGACTGTAATAAATCAAACGTTTGAAAAAATCTACTAGTAATTTAGAAGTTTAGGACTTTTGCTACAATTATCCCTAATTTTAATTAGCATTATTTGTGCGTGTAGCCATTGTTTTTATTTTACTACTAGAAGTGAACCAAAAATATTTTCACACTCTCTCCACTCGATACGAGCTTTGCTTTATTAAAATTCTGCCAACAGACATGAAATGGGATCACGTCTAAACAATATGATGCAACATTTCAAAAACTCAAGAGAGATAATATATCATATTTATCCTGGCAATTTCACAACAATGTAAGACCTAATATCTAAAATTATTGACCAACATTAGAGTATTGGATGCACAAAGTAACAAATTTCCTATACAATTACTAAGATCACCATAAATTACTCGATATAAGAGGTGTAGCAGAGATCAGCCACCTAATTTATTGCATGGATAAGACGATGCTAGGGAAAAATTAGGCGCACCGCCGATCACATGCACTTCACCATGAATAGCAATCTAATGGAGCATACATCAGGATTTTATCAAACTTTGAGCAGTGACTGCCTAGAACATCACAAATGCTCAAATACGAGTTGAATGCGATATATTATCCCCATGTAAGGCAGAGGTCAATCAGCCTTCGACAAAGGAAATTATTCTTCCATTCACATTAGTAGAAAAAATTAGATATCAAATCCTGGCATTGCAAACTGGGATGCGAAACTTTCAACTCTTGTTCTCAGCTCAACAATTTCTTTGCTGCTCTCGAGTCCCTTGAGAAAAGGTTTCGGCACTTTCCCATGTTCTCTCTGCACTGAACTTGCAATCTGTACTGCTCTGAGAAGAAAGTCAGCAATCGTCTCAAAATCAGCCTCCAGAGAACCTCTAGATGTCATTGCAGGAGTACCTGCAGGTATATATGTTATAACCAATCTCTATTGCACAAATAAGTTCTCGAGTACACTGTTAATAAAAACTTATGATCTTCACTTACCAATCCTTACACCGCCGGGCGTTAAATTGCCATTATCATCAAAGATAGTGACCTTATTGAGAGTAATATGACACAACTCGCAGACCTTCTCGAAGTTTTTACCTATAAATCATAAAAGGCAGGAAACATAAGTAACAAAAATAAATCCAGATCATAGGTACAGAAGCTATTGCTAGTTTTTTGGTGCCAACCAAGAAATCACCCCTCGCGTGCGAAATTATAGATCTCCTTTTAAGATCAAACAATTCCATTGAATTGAGTACCAATACAATAAATAAATCCACACATACTGTCTATTCACGTGCATTTTATAGTTACTACCATAGCATTTGTCAACATCAAACCTTAAACAAATTATAAACAAGAATTCGATCGAATCCTAATTAACACATCGGGGTCCACAAATAATTTGTGGACATCCTTCAACCAAAATTTCCATGTCCCTCAATCATATCCACAGAGAGTAAAATAGAGAAATAAAAAAGAGACCACAACTATCTCAGATTATAAACCTAGCTTCATTGGACAAGTAGAAAGGGTAAAATTAAAAAATAAATAAATAAAGAATTCAGCTTAAACTTATGGAATACCCAGTTACTAAAGAATATCCAACTTAGAATCCACTACTATTGCTGTCTCTTGACTGTCAAACTTTTATTTATAAACGTATTCCAGACAGCAAAATTAAACAAAGAATCATCTCTACTAAAGAAATATGCGTGGCAAGCATATCAAAGAAATTCCAACATGCCATGCCTCTATTGCTCTACGCCTATGCTGTTCAATAATAAGGCTCTCCATAATCACAAGCTATATAGTCCTTGGAGAGGGTGATTTGATAATTTACCATCGTAAAACTAAATATGACCTCTCCTGAAACCCACCTATGCAACAATGACCTTACCACCACCCACAAGTATGAACAGTGGATATGGGAGTTGGACCAGAACAAAGCACATGGATTAAGTCACCTAATCTCAACAATGCTTGACAAACAGAGATCTTCTAGTACCAGATTTTCTTAGACATTGTATCTTAAAATTGAATCACAACGTATGGAACTCGTGCATCTCAATCCTAATGAAATCGCAAGACTTGAAACGAGAATTCCTCAACACTAAGAGCAAAAAACAGTAAGAGATAAAGGCACCATAGAGATGGCATATTAAATATATGAATTCAAAGACACGTGATGCATTACAGCTCATAAATATTAGCATGGACATGAAGAACACAACTTAATCCCAAGCCATAGAGTGACTAGAAAAGGACGCTTATACACAAGATGTGCTTCGTCATTTAAATGATCATCTTTCATTGTAGTTTATTTGCTCATTCTGGGTGCCTGGTCAACTTAGCTATTGCAATTTTTTTCCCCTTGGCATAAATATCTTACATTTTACACAATCACCAAACTGATCTTATATACATATATACAGGCAGATTATTTTGGTAATTTTGTGTAATTGGAATTATTTTACCGCAAACTTAAAAAATCAGTTTGACCATCAAAGAAGCACAGTGCACAGGTCACATCAACAATGTAGGTGTAAATTAGTCAGTAAATTGTCAGACAAGAGTGCAAGATATTTGGAGCAGAACATACTACCTGTCAGTCCAAGATTTCTAAGATCCCAAAGCAACAAATGATTGTCAGTGCCTCCAGTGACAAGTCTACAATTTCTTCTTAATAAAGCAGATGCTAAGGCCTGAGCATTTTTCTTGACCTGCTGCATATACGCCTTGTACTCAGGAGTCGCCACTTGTTTCAATGCTATTGCTAGAGCTGCAATGTGGTTGTTGTGTGGCCCACCTTGAAGTGCTGGGAAAACTGCGAAGTTTATCTTTTCTTCAAAATCATATCTATCACTGCCCTCACCTTGATTCAAAAGCATGCATCGCTTCCTTGGCTTTGGGCCCTTCCTGTAAAAAATAATGCCTCCCCTTGGACCTCGAAGACTTTTGTGGCTGGTTGAAGTAACAATATCACAGAATTCAAATGGACTTATGCATTCCTGCAGTTACAAATTCATGTACACAGTTTAAAGATCAAGGAACCGCAAAATTGAAAAGAACAGAAAGTAAACACAAGAAACTCTTACACAAATAATTAGGAGTTAAAATGTAAGGCATGAAAAAAAATAAAAAATGAGAGAGATAAGTCCAAAGGCACATCATTAAACATGCTTCTCATGGGAGCACTAATAGTTCTTAATATGGAAATCAAATTGAGATTCTAATTGACAAGAACAATATGTTATTTTACACATAAATCAGATCAGAAATTTGCATAAACTTATTGAACTCAAATTTTGAGTGGGAACTTATCATCAATATCTATGACAAAGCTGCTACCCTGAAACAAATACTGCATGCCTGCAGTGCATATATTATGAAGAGTACAAAACTTGTTTCTCTAGCCTTGTGTCCACAAATAAGAAAATGTCCAAGTAACAACAAGAGATATAGGGCTTGTTTGAGTGCACTCTGCAGAGCAAGATTACTGTTAAAAGATATGTCAGAGAGCAGCTGTCCGCTGATATTAACTTTATCTCTTTACGGATAAAGATTTGATATGTCTAGCGACCAATTAGCTTTTATTCAACAAAAAAATAGTTTCTAGTATATATGTTCTATCTCTGCTACAAGTTCATCCGTGGTTGGCAGGTCGCCCATCCACACTTTTCCATTTCACGTTTTAAAGAATCCTAGATGAAAACAGTTCGAGAAAGAACAATGACAGATAAGGCATAAAGGCTCTTTTCGAATTCAAGAATACAATCTTGAACTGTAGCAACAAAGAGAAGAAGATCCGTACAAGCCAGCACACCATATACCTCAAAGCTGAATGGAATCATGTCATGATACCAGGATAAAAAGGACTAGTATCTATCAACATCAACCACCCTTCTCTATACCCTTCACAAATACTCTGCCCCCACAGCTCCTCGCCTCCTTTCCCACAGAACTGCCTTTTAACCATCACACCACCATCTTTCTCATTCCCAATCTCGGCTACTGGTTGCACCGCGATGCCATGCAGAACAAGCAAAAGCAAAAATTATAATAAAGACCCTTAGATTATTTTTCATCCCCCTATCAAACTACCATCATTCTCATTCCCATTCCCATTCCCATTCCCAGTCCCAGCTACTGGTTGCACCACGATGCAATGCAGAACAAGCAAAAGCAAAAATTTATAATAAAGACCCTTAGATTATTTTCACACCTCTAGCACCATATGAAGATCACAGAGACCTGCAAAATTGATTCTTATTTGGAATAATGGACTCCACTTGATCAAGTTGAAGAATGATGTATCTATAAACATTTTATTATAAATCTACAATGGACTTGATTGTACTATAATCTTAATCCCCATGAATACGAGTTTTCAATAAGTTCCATGCAATTGTGTGTTCAGTTTCTGACATATTTGGACCACGATTTCAAAAGGCCAATTTTTATATTTTTTCGAACCCCTTTCAGAAGCAGCAAAAACAGAGAAGACTACAAAGTATTTATGTGCTTCCACTCATGTCCTTGTTCACTCAAGTGACGTCAAAATCAGACCCAAAGTAAATGTGAGAATGGTTGCATTCTCTGTCCACTAAATGTCTGGTAATATTTAAGAGAAAAAAGCTCAAAGTACACATTAAATAGATAGGACTGGTACATTGATTAATACTTAATAGAATAAGAATGATGAGCTAACTAGTAAAATAAAACCAATTCCACTTTAGCCAAAGCTCTGGATGTAAATTAATGCAACTTCATAAGAAATATAACATCAATGAACCCGTCTTCAATTTATTGTTTCAAAAAGTATAGTAACAACCAGAAGCATGCTGCTCCAATTGAAAATTGCAGTCTAAAAATCATTCATAAACAATATAAAGACTACATGCAACTGAGTGAACCCTGAAAAGCAATTGCTCAAATAAACATGTAGCTCAATATCAGAAACAAGTATTGTAAAGCAAATTAAGCACAAAAAAAATGCCAAAATCAATAAAAACCAAAAAAAGGAAGAAAAGACTTGCACCTTAGCAGCAACAAGACCACTAATCTGAGCCATGTCACACAACAAAACAGCTCCGCATTTATCAGCAATCTGTCTAAACCTAGCATAATCCCACTCCCGAGGATATGAACTCCCACCACATATTAATATCTTGGGATGAAAATCAACCGCCCTCTCCTCCAGCTTATCGTAATCAATATAACCTGACTGAGGATTCACCTTATAAGAAAGACTCTCAAAGAAAATTGATGCCCCTGACACCTTTCTCCCATTTGGCAAATAACAGCCGTGACTAGTGTTCCCACCAGACGGCGTATCCAACCCCATTATCCGGTCACCAGGCAATAATAACCCAGTGTAAACCGCAAAATTTGCAGATGTACACGAATATGCCTGCACATTCACACCCCAACTCTCAGAATCAAGCCCAAAAGCAGCCAATGCACGCTCACCACAGAGTATCTCAATCTCATCAATATATTGATTTCCACCATAATATCGCGACCTAGGCATCCCTTCAGAATATTTATTAGTTAAATGGCTCCCCAAAGCCTCCATTACTGCTTTACAAACAAAGTTTTCTGATGCAATTAATTCAATTCCTTTATATTGCCTCAGCTTCTCCTTCTCCATTATTTCAAAAACATCCAAATCGGCGACTCGCAAGCTCTGGTTCCCCCATGCCCTGACAGCATTCCTACGCAATTCAAGCTCGTTTGAAGAAGCCTTAAGACTCTTTACAGGATAGGCTGATGTCGAGGACACTGAATCACAGTCCCGCTTCCTCTTCAAACACATCGAGTGCCCCCAAAACCGAAACTCCTCCTCATCTCTTTCCTCATCAACTTTCTCACTCTCTTTTTTCTCTTCATTCAAATTCTCTTCTTTGCAGTTATGATGATCCTCTGTTTGCTGGTCCATCAATTGGAGTGGAATAGAAGGCACCGGATGCGCCATGTCTTGAATCCTCGACTCGATTTGGAAGGAAATCGAGTCGTCAACGATTTTCGAGCTCCTATCATTCTTACTGCCATTCGGTGCAGTTACCACCGATGAATGCGATAAAAACCCTAACGAGAGACTATTACTCGGCGGAGATTGAGTAAAATCCATAACAATGATATAACCAAAAACAACAAAATAAAGTTCTTGTTAACAATGATAATTCAAATATATAACCGAAATTGAAACCCTAACCCCCAATCTTTTCAACAGATTTGACAAAAACGGTAACGGCGGTTTGCAGAAACAGCGACAGTGGCGATGGGGTACCGATCGGCGACACGTTTAGTGGGAAATTGTTGATAAAGTTTCCAACAAAATGAATCAATCTCGATAATTAAACCCAATTATAGGAACTTAGGGTGGAAATTACAAGCTCAAAATACATACATAGAGAATTCAAAGGATCGCGTGGGTTTGACGAAGGAGGAGGGGTGATTCAGAAATGAATGCACCTGGACGATTTTTAGACGCGGGGAGGAATTAGCTGCGACGCATTTGGCATACAACCGAGTAGGAGTTGGCAAAAATCGAACCGACCAACCCAAATCGAATTGACCAAGTTGCATTGATTCTTTTTTAAAAGTCCGTTGAGTTGAATTTTTTAGAAGAAAATGGGTTGGCTTGGGGGTTGATCCACCACAATCGATAAAACTTGCTCAATCCAACTCGCTACTTTAAAAATTAAAAACAAATGTAAAAAATTAGAAGTTGAAACCTAGTTTAAAAAATCTTATCATTTTTTTCATACTTCCTATTTCTCTCTAGGCATAAAAACAAATGTAAAAAATTAAAAGTTCAAACCTAGGGCTTGTTTGGGAGTGATTTTTTCTTCCAAAAAATTGATTTTTTTTATCGTTATTTCACTATTCCAGCCGTTATATTTGACTTCTTCTCTCACAGGTGTATCACTTTTCTCCTAACGATCAAAAAATCAATTCTCAAATTTACTCCCAAACAGGCTCCCAGTTTAAAAAATATTATCATTTTTCTTATACTTCCTATTTCTCTCTAGGCACAAAGCTAGATGTTGCCGCCTCTCATTATCTTTTATTCAAGTCTGTCGACCGTCGCGAACCCTATTTGCATCTACGCTTCCGGCTAATTGCCAGCTTTTACTCCTTTTGATACTCATAACTTTAAATTTAAGTTGATTATTATTTATGTTTTGCAAATATAGGTTTCAGGCTTATTTTTCTTTTAAGCGAGATGATAATTTGTATAATATATGCATTTTCCTTCATGCATTATTACAAATTTATGATAATGGTCTAAGCGTTGTGGTTGATAGGTTTTTATTATCGAGCATATTTTTATGATTTTTAATGTCTAAATCGACCAACTCAACTTAATTCAATCGAAACTTAATTGAGTTGGGTTAGATTGAAACACATGAATGGGTTGGGTTGGTTTATTTTTAGATCAAACCGACCATATTGGGTTGGAATAAAAATTGACCTGACCCAATCCGACCCAATCCATGTCCATCCTTAAAAAGTAAAAATGATGATTGTGTGGGTCCACTTTTAATATTTTACAAGGTGCCCATACGTGATTCTTTAGAATTTTTGAAGACCACATTGGCAACCATGGTAAGGAAAATGCTGGAGTGAAGTGTCAATTTGGCTCGTCGACTCGGGTTACCCGTGGTTGAGCCCAACAAAATCTAATAGGTCCGACTCGAGACTCGAACGAGCCCCATTTTGGGGCATCACCTGGAGTGTAGTGTTAATTTGACTTGTCGACTTTAGCCGCCCGTGACTAGACCCTAAAAAAACCCAAGCAAGCCCGACTTAAGGCTTTGTCGAGCCCTATTTTAGGGCATCGGCCCGAGCTAGCCCATGTAGCTCGACGAGCCACACAAGCGGGCTTGTGTCACGAACCATTTTTGACTTGTGATGGGCCGATTAAAAAAAAAGTTACAGACAACCACACAACTGCCTGCAAAAGACAACAACTAATTGCAGGTAATGTGTTGCTGCCTTTTGCAAACAGCATGTAGCTGCCCGCACAAATACGTGAGTCGGCTCAACTTGGCTAAATAATACTAGAGTCGAAAGTTCGGGTCGAGTCTAGGTTTTTTTGGTTGAGCAAAAGTTTGGCTCGGCTTAGGCTAAAAAAATCCGAACCATTTTTACTCGAGTCAAGCCCAAGCCTCAAGTTTTGGCTCGTGAGCTGATTCGACTCATTGGCATTCCTACTAAGGTGACAGAAAAATCTGACCAGATTCTTTAATAGAAAGTGTATATGATTGGGTGAGAAAGCTAATTGTGTTTCATACAATCCAATAATAGAATGTCATGTGGTATTATATCAAGAATTATGTCAATGTAGCACAATTTTCGTGATTAACGTGGAGGATTAACTCTTTTTGGGATAAATTACACTATGGGTCCTCAACCTTTTCACTTCATCTTAATTTTGTTTTCTATTAAATTTTAATAGCGTGTATTAATATTATTCCAACATTTCAATAGATCACGTGAATAAGTAAAATCGAATCGCTCTACTTTCTTGAAAGGCATAAAAGAATAATGTATATGCGTAAGTTCAATCTCAAATTATGATAATTCATAACAATAATTAATTGTGTTGTGTTGCAAAATATAAATGATTCTTGTTTCTATGTAGTATATGTTGGAACATATTTTAAAGTTTTAAACTTTCACAATAAATTTTAGTTTTCATTTTGATTTTGATTTCAATATTAACTTAATAACTTTTAATACAAAATTAAATCTCATAATTTAAATTGTAACTTAAGAATAAAAGTTTCAACCTTTCAAATTAAAACCTTTCAATTTCAAGTTTTAACATAAAATTAAAATACCATAATACATATTATAACTTACGTTTATAAATGTGGGGGTTTGAATTTTCTACTATAAAAAGGGGTGGATTTCACATTTTTTGACACACAAACAAATCAAACATAAAAGATACTCTTTAGTGTTTTCATACTACTCTCTAATTATTTTATACTATATTTTCAATAGTTTGTGGCAACTTAATGAAATGCTCGTTCAATTATCTCCCTATGGTCGTGCCCATAGAAGGAGAGCCACATGGATTTTATCTTGGAGCCGTGTAGTCCCGAAAGAACCCGCACGAAGAGGAGGTGACACGACTTTAGGACAACGTTCTCGACGTAACTCCCAAAACTTGTTATTTCTAACTCTCCTCTTATGTTAGTATTCTTATTGAATTATATTATTTATATGTTTATGTTTAAAATAGTTGTGTTAAATATTATTATATCTACACACAAATCACCAATTTTTCCAACAATCTAAAGTCGGGTTTTATGATTTGTGAGTAGATTTTTGGTATTGTGATTTTCAAATATAAAATCACATGTAAGTTCACCGACAATAGTAAAACCAGCCATCAATTGTTATTTAGATGATAGAAATAAATATTAGGTCATGAATGCCATGGCTAGTTTGGCATATTATAAGATTGCTTAATACTTTTTATATTTAAAGAATTGAAATAGTTTTTCGTTTACTTTGCTCATTTTACATAACCTGATCGATTAAAATCTTAGCTTGCAAACAAGTTGGAAAATTGATATAAATGTTCTCAACTGCTAAAAAATAAATAAATAAATAAATCTTGGGAGCTTGTAAGCTTAGATTTTAATATTCTACTGAATGTGATGAGCTAGATTAAATTCAACCTTAGATCATGTTTAGCATCGTTAATTCTAGCTTGAGCTTGAAATATTTTCTAAAGTGTTAGGCTCAGCTGGGTTTGTAAGAACCACTAGTAAAAAATTTACCCTTTAAGCATAATAGTTGAAAGGAACCATGTCTAGTTGGTACTCTGACATGTGGTTTATTATTCTTCAACAATAATTGGTAAGAAAATCAGTCCTCAAGTCTTGAAGCATGCTTAGTTTGATAAAATTGAAATATCCTAAGCCTTCTTGATTGTGAGATGTGATTTTCATTTATTAGGATTTAATTTAAACGTTTGAATTCCAAAGTGCTCCTTTAAGTCCCAACTTATGAATTTGTTCCCTCCAAATATCATCAACTAAAACTCATTAGCAAACAACATGCGCTAGAGAAACTAATCGAAACGTCCAGTAAGCTCCTTAATGAGAGCACTGAAACATTGATGCATACCAATGTTAGATGGCATTTCTTTATTACTATTAAAATTGATATATCATGTAGAAATTTCTGTCTTAGTGAATTGTTCACTACAATTTGAAATTGAAATTGTGCTTATCCATAAAATTTATTAAAACATGATTTTCTTAGAATATATAATTGATCTTAAACAATGATTTAAGTCAATTAGTGTGCTAAATGAACATTAAAATCAACTTAATATCCCCGATGATGATAATTAACAATTTAATATAGTCACTCATATATGTAATGTGTACGTATGAGTAGGGTATGCATTTATCAATGATATTTGCATAGTCTCAATCGACTATAAAGATCAATGTTATATTTGTGACGTATGAATATTGGTACATCATTTGGTAATGAATTATTGTGTTTAAATTAAATTTTAAAAAAAATCATATCTTTGGAATGTGGGGGTATTTAAAAATTTCAAATGGATGCATCGTACATTGTGTAACACTGACTTTTGAAAGTGTAGAAGTAAAACTGGAGACATTGAGGTCAAATACAAGAGTTGAATGAATACATATGATCAAACATGTTATTAGAAGTCAATTTTAAGTTTCACTATTTATCTTATTATACTTAACGTGACTTTAATATTTTGAAATGTTTTAGAAGATTTTACAGATGTACTAATATGCAAGCAAAAAATAAGAGTTTGCAAATATTATGGTACCAAATTATTGTCCAAGAGGGACATGAAATAAATTATAGTCCGAAATGGATATACATAAATCATCGAGGGGGATGGGTTTAAACCCGTAAGAGAGTTACCTCCAAGAGTAACCCAACCCTTATGATTGGAAATCCCATGAAAAAAGGTTCAATGTGGTAGAAACAACATGTACTGCGTGACTCGTAATAGCACTATACTATTTGTGATCATCCCTATGATGATATAGTGCTAATAATAATCTGATGTTAGTAAATGTTTAACCCTAAATGAGTACCAAGGCGAGATTTCTTGCGAGGTGTGAGTCACACACACCTTTGGAGGACTCACCTATGTAAGAGTTGTCATGAAGCCATGGCCATGGGATTGAGCTATTCCCTAGCGACTCTTACTAGAATCAAGATTAGAGCGCATGGCTATTAACAACGCTTCCAGTTATAAACTGAGCCTAAATCGATACTGTGTGTGTAACAATTGAAGTTCAACCAAAGGGACCTAATTCAAGGTCTAGTCCATTATGGCTTCCCAATTGAAAATTATTATCACTAAGTGAGGTTCAAATTCAAAAGACACTTACACCTATTACATAGTATAAAGTTGCCACTATTATATATATTTATCTATTTT